TCTACATCTCATCCTTGTAATCTTTTGTGTAGAGACTAGAACCTGGAACCCTCAGTCTCTCAACAAGGAGAGAATGTTCATCAGAGGGCCCGGCATGTACAAAACCTAGGACAGGAAAGAGCTTTCCCATGTTTGAGAAACTTAAGGCTTGAAGATAGTAAATGAGAAAGGTAACACAGGTGTCTTCATCTGTTCCAACAGCTATTAACAAAAATATCGCTGACTGAGTGCTGCATACACAATAGAAATTCATATCTCACAATTTTGTAGTTTGAGAAGTACCAGGTCAGGGTATTGGCGGATTTAGAATTTGGTGAGGCTAATCCCCCACAATAGCCATCTTTTGCTGCAGCTGTACAGGGCAGAAGGGGCAAGAGATCTTTCCCAGGCCTCTTTTATAAGGGCATCCATTCTATGTACAAAGGCTCTGTCTTCATGAACCAGTCACCTTCCAAATGCACTTCCTAATACCATCACCTTGGGTTTGAATATTTCCACATATGGATTTTTTTGAGGGGGGCACAAACATTTGGACCATAACAATAAGAGAAAACAGTGATGGAGTTCAAAGACTATTTAATATCTGGGGCTTCTAAGGCATTATTCCTAATTTAAAATTTTTATTCATTTGAAAGGCAGAGAGAGAGAGAGAGAGAGAGAGAGAGAGAGAGAAAGCTACAGGGATTTTTCATTTGCTAGTTAATTCCTCAGATGCCTACAAGAGCTAAGGCTGGACCAGGCCAAAGTCAGGAAGTAGGAATTCAATCCAGTTCTCCCATGTGGGTGGCAGATGGGTGGCAGGTATGCAAATTCTTGAGTCATCACCTGCTCCCTCCCAGGAAGTACATTAGCAGGAAGCTGGAATCAGAAGTAGAGTGAGAATTGGAACCCAGGTATTCCATATGTGATACAGGCTCTCAAGCAGAGTCTTAATCCCTGCACCACATGCTTGCTTCTTATTGTTGATTTAAAATCAAAGTTAAGTATGTGGGAAAAAAACCAACAAACTTTTGATAAGCACTTAAAAAGAAGGGAGCTAATGGGGTTCAGAGATGGACAAAGAGCCACCATCTCTGAGTAATGCCCAGTGTAGGGGCAGAGGCCACGAAGGGCTCTATGTAAAGGGGCTGACCCGACCTGGGGCTGTGGTGGTAAGAAAGGGGCATGGGTGTCAGCACACTTTCCTCCTGCCATCTAGGAGTAAATGATGGGGTACCACTCAATGGTTTTAGATCCTTGATCAAATATAAGTTGGCTGTAGATGTTTGGGTTGATTTCTGGTGTTTCAATTCTGTTCCATTGGTCTATCCATCTGTTTCTGTACCAGTACCATGCTGTTTTAATTACAACTGCCCTGTAGTATGTCCTGAAATCTGGTATTGTGATGCCTCCGGCTTTGTTTTTGTTGTACAAGATTGCTTTAGCTATTCGAGGTCTCTTGTGCCTCCATATAAATTTCAGCACCATTTTTTCCAGATCTGAGAAGGTCTTCGGTATCTTGATTGGTATTGCATTGAATCTGTAAATTGCTTTTGGGAGAATGGACATTTTGATGATATTGATTCTTCCAATCCATGAGCATGGAAGATTTTTCCATTTCTTGGTATCCTCTTCTATTTCTTTCTTTAAGGTTTTGTAATTTTCATCGTAGAGATCTTTAACGTCTTTGGTTAAGTTTATTCCAAGGTATTTGATTGTTTTTGTAGCTATTGTGAATGGGATTGATCTTAGAAGTTCTTCCTCAGCCATGGCATTGTCTGTGTATACAAAGGCTGTTGATTTTTGTGCATTGATTTTATACCCTGCTACTTTGCCAAACTCTTCTATGAGTTCCAATAGTCTCTTAGTAGAGTTCTTTGGGTCCCCTAAATACAGAATCATGTCATCTGCAAAGAGGGATAGTTTGAGTTCTTCCTTCCCAATTTGTATCCCTTTAATTTCTTTTTCTTGCCTAATAGCTCTGGCTAGAACCTCCAGAACTATATTGAATAGCAGTGGTGAGAGTGGGCATCCCTGTCTGGTTCCAGATCTCAGTGGAAATGCTTCCAACTTTTCCCCATTCAATAGGATGTTGGCTGTGGGTTTTTCATAGATTGCTTTGATTGTATTGAGGAATGTTCCTTCCAAACCCAGTTTGCTTAGAGTTTTCATCATGAACGGGTGTTGTATTTTATCAAACAATGGAAATAGATGAAGGTTCTGGTTAAATTTTTGTTTCAAAAATGTAAGCTTTGGGGCAGAGTAGAGGCTTGGAACAGAGAGCTTTTAGGGAGTCTCCTTACATCTGGTGGGAGCCCATGCTCTAAATCAATGATAATCACCTGTTAGAGCGAGACTAAAAGTGGTTCTCTTGGGATTCTGCTTGGCTAATATCTTCTTTGTTTCTACGCTGGTAACATTTTTTTTTAAAAAGATTTACTTGTTTATTTGAAAGTCAGAGTTACACAGAGAGGCAGAGAGAGAGAGAGAGAGAGAGAGAGAGAGAGAGAGATCACTGGTCCACTCCCCAGTTGGCTGCAAAGGCTGGAGCTGCGCTGATCTGAAGCCAGAAGCCAGGAGCTTCTTTTGGGTCTCCCATGAGGGTGCAGGGGCCCAGGGACTTGGGCCATCTTCTACTGCTTTCCCAGGCCATAGCAGAGAGCTGGATCAGAAGTGGAGCACCCAGGTCTCAAACTGGCACCCATATGGGATGTCGGCACTGCAAGCAGCGGCTTTATCCGCTATGCCACAGGGCTGGACCCACGCTGGTAACATTTTTAAAACGTTGTAACTGAAATGGGAAAGCAATGTAAAATTCAAATTTCTCATTATCTTGGGAAACCTAGCTCTGGTGGCACTAGGTCAACACCTATGGAACTCGCAGAGCCCATAGCAGCTGGCTCATCTCAGGGCTTTTCCCTCTACTCTTGATCCCAAGTCCCTCATAGCTGTGCTCTTCTTCAGTTCTGGCCTCTGCCATAAAGGGGCCATGCATTAAAAGAAACACTTTGACCCATGGCCAGCATCCTATTGAATGGGGAAAAGTTGGAAGCATTCCCACTGAGAGCTTGTACCAGACATGGATGCCCACACTCATAATTGTTATCCAATATAGTCCTTGAAGTTTTAGCTATAGCCATCAGGCAAGAACAAGAAATCAAAGGGATACAAATTGGGAAGGAGGAAGTCATACTATTCCTACTTGCAGATGACATGATTTTATATATAGGGAATCCAAAACACTCCAAGAGACTATTGGAACTCATAGAAGAGTTTGGTAAAGTAGCAGGATATAAAATCAATACACAAAAATCAACAGCCTTTGCATATACAGACAATGCCACGGCTGAGAAAGAACTTCTAAGATCAATCCCTTCAGAACAGCTAAAGAAAAAATCAAATGTTTTGGAATAAATTTAACCAAGGATGTCAAAGATCTCTATGATGAGAATTATAAAACATTAAAGAAATAGAAGAAGACACAAAAAATGGAAAAATATTCCATGTTCATGGATTGGAAGAATAAATATCATAAAAATGTCCATTCTTCTGAAAACAATTTACAGATTCAATGCGATACCAATCAAAATACCAAAGACATTCTTCTCAGATCTAGAAAAAAACGATGTTGAAATTCATGTGGAAACACAGGAGACCTCGAACAGCTAAACCAATCTTATACAACAAAAACGAAGCCGGAGGCATCACGATACCAGATTTCAAGGCATACTATAGGGCGATTATAATCAAAACAGTCTGGTACTGGTACAAAAACAGAGGAGTTGACCAATGGAACAGAACAGAAATGCCAGAAATCAATCCAAGCATCTATAACCAACTTATATGTGACCATGGAGCTAAAACAATCCTTGGAGCAAGGACAATCAACAAATGGTGCTGGGAAAGCTGGATTCCACATGCAGAAGTATGAAGCAAGACCCCTACCTACACCTTATACAAAAATCCACTCAAAATGAATTAAAGATATAAATCTACAACCTGATGCTATCAAATTATTAGAGAACATTGGGGAAACTCTGCAAAATATTGGCACAGGCAAAGACTTCTTGGAAAAGACCCTAGAGGCATAGGTAGTCAAAGCCAAAATTAACAAATAGGATTACATCAAATTGAGAAGTTTCTGTACTGCAAATGAAACACTCAGAAAAGTGAAAAGGCAACTTTAACAGAATGGGAAAATTTATTTGCAAACCACGCTACTAATAAAGGATTAATAACTAGAATATATAAAGAGATCAAGAAACTCTGGGGCCAGTGCTGTGACACAGCAGGTTACCGCCCTGGCCTGAAGCGCTGGCACCCCATATGGGTGCTGGTTCTAGTTCCGGCTGCTCCTCTTCCAATCCAGCTCTCTGCTGTGGCCTGGGAAAGCAGTAGGAGATGGCCCAAGTCCTTGGGCCCCTGTACCTGCGTGGGAGACCTGGAAGAAGCTCCTGGCTCCTGGCTTTGGATCAGTGCAGCTCTGGCCATTGTGGACAATTGGGGGATAAACCATCAGATGGAAGACTCTCTCTCTCTCTCTCTCTCTCTCTCTCTGCCTCTCCTCTCTCTGTAACACTGACTTTTGAATAAATACATAAAATCTTTGAAAAAGAAAATAAACTCCACAACAAAAAAGCAAATAACCCAGGTAAGAGAAGGGCAAAGGACTTAGACATTTTTCAAAAGAGGAAATCCAAATGGCCAATAGGCACATGAAAAAACGTTCAGGATCACTAGCCATCAGGGAAATGCAAATCAAAACCACAATGAGGTTTTACCTCACCCCAGTTAGAATGGCTTTCATACAAAAATTAAACAAATGCTGGCCAAGACATGGGGACAAAGGTACCATAATCCACTGTTGGTGGTAATATAAACTGCTAAAGCCACTACAGAAGATAGTATGGAAATACCTCAAAAATCTGAATATAGACTTACCATGTGACCCAGCCATCCCACTACTAGGAATTTATCCAAGGGAAATGAAATCAGTAAATAAGAGTTATCTGTATCCCCAGGTATATTGCAGCTCAATTCACAATAGCTAAGACATGGAATCAACCTAAATGCCCATCAAGTGAAGACTGGATAAAGAAACTATGAGGTATGTACACTATGGAATACTACATTAACGGTAAATAAAAAATGAAATCTGTTCAATTGCAACAAAATGGATGAATCTGGAAAACATCATATTTAGGGAAATAAGCCAGTCCAAAAAGGACAAATATCATATGTTTTCCCTGACTTGTGAGAATTAATAGATCACCTAAAACAAAATCTGTAGAAATGAAATTGATACTTTGTTAAGAGATGACTTGACTGTCTTGACTGTCGAGGAACAGTTTTATTTTTTGTTTTTTCATTCATACTATTTGTTGAACTCTTAACTTGCAGTTAATCATACGTGTATAAAGTCAACTGAGGATGGATCTCAGTAAAAAATAAAAGTGGGAATAAGAGAAGGAGGAGGAAGTTTGTAACTGTAAATCTGTATCATTCTGCATACAGTCCTTTAGACTTACTTCTTTTTTTAAAACTTTTATTTAATAAATATAAATTTCCAAAGTAGAACTTTTGGATTATAGTGGCTTTTTTCCCCCCATAACCTCCCTCCGCCCACAATCATCCCATCTCCCACTCCCTCTCCCATCCCATTCACATCAAGATTCATTTTCAATTATATTTATATATAGAAGATCAATTTAGTATATACTAAGTAAGGATTTCAACAGTTTGTACCCACACAGAAGCACAAAGTATAAAGTACTGTTTGAGGACTAGTTTTACCTTGAATTCACATAGTACAACGCATTAAGGACAGAGATCCTACATGGGGAGCAGGTGTACAGTGACTCTGTTGTTGATTTAACAATTGACACTCTTATTGATGACATCAGTAATCACCCAAGGCTCTTGTCATGAGCTGCCAAGGCTATGGAAGCCTCTTGAGTTCACAAACTCTGATCTTATTTAGACAAGGCCATAGTCAAAAAGGTACTTCTTTCTTTGATGGCCTGGCCCCATTCTTTCTGCTTGCTGGGATCACTCACATTCCTTTTAGGTTGGTTGTTTTTTTTTTTTTTTTTTTTTTTTTTTTTTGTCTGGCCCCCCACAAGTTTGGGTTTTCCGTACTCAGAAACTCTCATGGGCTTTTTAGCCGGATCCAAATGCCTTAAGGGCTGATTCTGAGGCCAGAGTGCTGTTTAGGACATCTGCCATTCTATGAGTCTGCTGTGTATCCCGCTTCCCATGTTGGATTGCTCTCTCCTTTTTAATTCTGTCAGTTAGTATTAGCAGAAACTCAGACATACTTCTAAGGGTATAATTTAAAACTCGTCATAGGACCCCAAATTCCATTAAGCTGGTTGGTAAAAATGTCATCTTAAGTGCTAAATTGAACATATAGATAGGATTAAGTGTTAAAGTGATCATATAAATAGGATCAAGATTCTGGTAATAATAGTAGATATAATTAAAAAGGAGAGAACGTTCCAACATGGGAAGCAGACCACCCAGCAGACTCAGAATGACAATCACTCGAAGTAACACTCTGACCTTAGAACCAGCCCTTAAGGCTTCCTGGTCTGGCTGAAGAGTCCATGAGAGAATTTCAGGCATGGAAGCCAAGACAACTGTGGCAAAAGTGTTCTACATGAAGGATCAATGTGAGTGCTACCCCAGTGGAAAGAAGTGGCCATCAAAGAAGGTTATACTTCCCTCTAAAGGGAGGAGAGAACTTCCACTTTGCTTATCGCATTGTCTAAATACTGATGGAGTTTGTTGATTCTAAAGGCTTCCATAGCCTAGGCAGTGCATGTCAAGAGCCTCAGGTGGTCACTGATTTCATACATAAGAGTGTTAATTGTTAAATTAACAACAGGAGTCACTGTGCACTAACTCTCTATGCAGGTCCTCTGTCCTCAATGAATTATACAATGAGAGTTAACTGTAAAACTAGTTCTCAAAGTTTTTTTTTTTCTGTGTGTGTGTGCAAATTGTTGAAATCTTTACTTAGTATAGAGTTGGTCTTCTATGTACAAAGTTAATTGAAAATGAATCTTAATGGAGAATGGGACTGGGGAGAGGGAGGAGGAGATGGGTTGAGAGTGTGGGTAGGAGGGTGGGTATGGTGGGAAGAATAATTATATTTCTAAAGTTGTACTTATGAAAATTGTATTCCTTAAAAAATTAACTAATTAATTAATTAACAATGACAAAGAAACACTTTGAGAGAGAGACAAGAGAGCACAGTGGTATGTGATGGATGAGGGACAGGGAGAGCCTACCCTGGCCTATGGTTTCTAATGAGGTGGGTACACAGAGAAAATACAGAGTGGCATCAGGGCTAGAGATGGGCCTCACTTCAGAGAAGGGAAGTTGTCGGGGTGAGGAGTCATGGTGCAGGCAAGGACTAAGCTGATTGGCAAAGACCAAACTGCTCCGTGGAGGATATGACTCAAAACAGAGTGACGGAGGCAACAGAAGCATGGAGGGGCTGAGGCCCCTGCCCTTCTACTGCCACTGACAAGCTGAGGAAGCTCTCTGAGTCGAGATTCCTTTTATAAGACAAGGTGCTATTCCCCAGGTCTTTTCAATTACTTCAGTCCAAAGAAAGTTAGATGTATCTGTCCAGGAAGCTACAATTCAAGCACCACTACCAAGTTCACGGAGGAAACACTGCACTGTCTTTAGTGAGCTCTGAGACATTGGGAGCTAGCAGTCAGCCATGACAAGGGGCTAGGAGACTTCACATTTTAAAGTACGTGATGGATTCGTGTTCATAGAATCAAACTTCTACTTTGGGAAGCAGACCCATTACATACTCTGTGTTGTCACACCACAGAGTACCCACTGGGTAGGGTAAATAAACATCCAACTGCTCTCCCTATGCCTTGGGATGCAGGTGACTTTCCATAGCCCACACAGCACTGACCACTGCTGGTGGGCACCCTGTGACTTGAGGGAGAGGGACTGCTATTTTTAGGAGTGATTAACTCAGATAAATGCTTACATCAGCAAAGAGAAAATGTCACACAGGGAGGAAGTAGGATGTTAGTGGTTAGAGTAAGAGCATTCATCCCAAGACAGAGCTTACCAGTCAAAAGTTCTTAAAATAACCTGTAAAACAAATCCCACTTATTTGAGATCAATATTCCTCTCATACCTACAACACAGACCTCATCCAAATGATCCCCTATTTCATGGCTGGAAGCCCGTGGCTCAGGGAGCACCAGGGCCTGAAAAGGCTCTGTTTTGGGCTCATGGAAATGCGCTGTAGAGAAGCTTGTGCCCTCAGATCTGCACACCCAGCTAAGGGCCTCCACCTCTCCTGTGCTCAAAACCTTAGCTTCCTTATTTTACCAGGCACATTCACGCTGTCACAGATGTAGTTGCTCCACAGGAAAGTGAGTCCTCTCTAACTGCCTGCCATGTCCAAGCCCTGAGGCAGGGCGTCTGCATCTTCAGAAGCCTCTTCAGTGAAGGGCTCCTAGGGAAGGGCTTGAGAGCCAAGCCAGGGCCCATCTCCTACGTGAGCCTGGCACTTGCAAAGCAGTGACTGGGCCTAATGGCGTCAACCTCATGGGTCAGCCCTGATCAGAGCAAAGCAATAAACGTTAAAATACTGTGTCCACAGTTTGTTCCTTCCTGGGTGGCTGCCCTGCACCCTCCTTCTGGGAACAAGGCAGCAGTCAGAAAGCAGCTCCAGCAGAATTGGCCGTGGCTTCCCTGGAAGGAGCTATTTGCAGGGCCTGGGCTCTGGCATTTTTGAGCCAAGAGGGTGAGTCCTAGACCACGTTGGAAGAACCCACTGAAATCTGTGCCAAATGAAACCACATTCCACAACGCATTCCCAGCAACACGAAACAATACAGATAAGAGGTTCGTTGTTCACTTCTAGTCATGACATTTTGGAAGTATGAGAGTCCATTATAGAGTTAACATTCGTCTTTAAGAGTGTTATTTCCTCTTCTCTTACCAGCTTAATGTCACATCATGCCAGTTGGAGAATATTTCAAAATTATAAAAATGCATGTTGTTCATTGATAAAAGCAACAGAACAAAGCCCAAGGCATAAGGACAACAAAACCGAGGATCTTTACAGAATGGGAGAATAAGTAAATTCCTCTTTTAAGTTTTCAGAGCCCTCCCCCACTTCTCAAACCCCGCACTTCCCACTGAATGGTGCAGGCCGTCCTTAGAGGAAGAAGAGAAGGAGGAGGAGGAGGGTTCGGCCTCAGGCCGGGCCTGTGCCGGGTGACGCCTGCCTAGCAGGCCACCGAGAATTCCCGGAATCCTTCTAGGTCACTGTCAATCCCAGCAGCCCCTGAAGATCAACAAGGATCTTCCTCACCGCTTTCTAAACTCTTCTTACAGCTCAGTTAGGGGAAGACAGAAATAAAAGGAAAGGCGTGCCGACGAGCCGGTGAAGGGGTCTAGGGGCGCGCGTGGACCAGGGGCGAGACCAGCCGAGGGCGCCTCCGGGGCGAGTGGGCGGGGCCGCCGCTGCAGCCGCCGGGAAACCAGAGACAGCAGGACATTGTGTTCTTCTCCTCAAAAACAACCAGCCTCGGCCTCCCAAAGTAAACAGTTAATCCTGTTGTTTATCTTTTTAACATGACGAGAAGTTAACAGCACAGTTTCTACTGCACAGAAATGTGTTTTTCGTTCACTTAAGAATTGTATTTTCTCCTCGCTGAAATGTGACATGTAAACTTTCTAATATCAGCGAACAGGAAGAAATAACAATCTCTCTTTGCTGAAAGTGATTCGACTTGGAAAAAGTCTGAGAAAGATCTTTTCTACACTCCACATCCTTTTTATTTTTGGAAAATAGCGCATGACTGAAATGAACAACAGCAAGCCACCCGTGCGCAGCAAGTTTGGTCTGTAAGGAAGGCACAAATAAAACAGCTGACACAATCAGTGCCAGCTTGGACTTTGATTTTGGTTATTGCCCAGGAAGATAAGATGCTTTATAACCTGATAGAAGTTTACCTGTGGAACAGGTTTGTCAAAGACAGTTACCTCATGCCTAATTATTAATTGAAATTTCTATTGAGATAATTGTAGAGAAACGTGTAGTTGTAAGAGACAATCCAGAGAGATCCAGCTCAGCCCAATCACAACAAGGCATCACAAAGTGGATACTGATATTGCTACAACCTGTTACTCTAACTCATATTTCACCAAGTTTACTTGTATGTGTGCACATTTAGCTGTATCCTTCACAGGTTTTAGCACCTGTGTAGGAACCTGTATTCACCACCACAGGTAAGATATTGAGCACAGGAGGCATCCCATATGGCTGCTCCACCTCCTATCCAGCACTCTGCTATGGTCTGGGAAATTTGTGGCAGATGGTCCAAGCAAGTCGTTGGGCCCCTGCATCCCCGTGGGAGACCCAGAAGAAGCTCCTGGCTCCTGGTTTCACATCAGCCCAACTCCAGCCATTGCAGCATTTGAGGAGTGAAAGCAGATGGAGGACCTGTCTCTCTCTCTCTCGCTCTCTCTCTCTGCCTCTCTGTAACTCTGCCTTAAAAATAATAAATCAACCTTTAAGAAAAAGAGTGGAAGATACTGAGCATAAGGATCTCTCAAGTTACCCTTTTATAATCTCTTTCCACCTCCCCTCCCTCCATCCCTAACATCTGGAAATCACTAATCTGTCTATCTAAAATCTTGCCACTTCAAAAATATTATAAAAATGTAATTGTCCAGTGTATACTCTTCGTGATTGGATTTTCTTCCCTTAGGACAATTCCCTGTGAATAATAAAAGCTATTATGCTTTTTATTTTTATAATAGCTTTACTGAGATATAACATACCATAAAATTGACCTCTTTTTAGTGTGGCAAAATACACATAAAATTTACCATTTTAATAACTTTAAAGTATACAACAGTGGCATGAAGTACATTTGCAATGTTCTGCAACCATCAGTACTGTCTAGTTCCTTAATGTATGCTTTCATCCCCCAAAAGGAAACTTCACTCCATTAAGCAACCATTGCCATTCTTCCCTCCTCAAAATTAATCTACTTTCTGCCTCTGCAAATTTGCCTATTATAGATAGGTCACACAAATGGAATCACAGAATATGTGGCTTTTGTGCCTGGCTTCTTTTCACGTAGCATAATGTTTTTTAATTTATGGTATTGTAGCATACATTATTTTTTCATTTCATTCCTTTTTGTTATTGAATAATATTCCATTACATGGCTCTGTCATATTTATTTCTCTATCAGCTGATGGGCAGGGGATTATTTCCATTTTTTTCATGTATGAATAATGCTGTTATGAACATCTTTTTAGAAGTTACATGAACATGCTTGTGTGTATATCTATGGAGTGGAAATGTTGACTTATTTGGTAATTCTGTTTAACTTTTTGAGGAACTGCCAGATTGTTTTTCAAAGTGGCTGCACCATTTTACATTCTTACCAGCAGTATATGAGGGTTTTAGCTTCTTCACAGTCTCATCAACTTCTATTACTAAAAATTTAAAAAAATTTTTACATTGCCATACAAATGGGTGTGGTTTTGATTTGAATTTCCCTAAAGACTAGTGATGTTGTACTTAATGGTCATTTTTTTTTTTCATTTTCATATCATCTTTGGAGAAATGTCTATTCAAACCTTTTGATTACTTTTTTTATTTAGGCTTTTTTATTGTTGAGTTGTAAGTGTTCTTTATATATCCTGGATAGTGATTTGCAAAAAAGTTTTCCCATTCTGTGGATTGTCTTTTCATTTCTACACCAGTTTTTTGAAGCACAAAGGTTTTTAATTTGATGAAGTCCCATTAATATATTTTTCTTCTGTTTATGCTTTTGGTGTCAAGTCCAAGAAACTATAGCCTGATACATAAGGTTATGAAGATATAGTACTAGTTTTCTTCTGAGAATTTTAGCTCTTAGATTTTTATTTATTTGAAAGGCAGATTGGGGAGGAGGTGAGAAAAGAGATATCAGTCTTCCATCTGCTGTTTTTTTTCCCCAAATGGCCACAATGGTTGGGGCTAAGCCAGGCCAAAGCTAGGAAAGCCAGGAACTCCATCCTGGTCTCTGATGTGGGCAGCAGGGGCCCACGTACTTGAGCCTCTTTTTGCTGCCTTCCTAGACACATTAGCAGGAAACTGGATTGGAACTAGAGCAGCCAGGACCCCAAAAGGCCTTCTGATATGGCATGCCACAGTCCCAAGTAGTGGTTTAAACACTTGTGCTACAATGCCAACCCGGGGTTCTTACATTAGGTCCATGATCCATTTTGACTTAATTTTCGTGTATGGTATGAGGCAAGGGACCTACTTTATTGTTTTGTAGTAGATAACCCAGTTGTCCCACAATCATTTGCTGCAATAACTATTCTTTCTCCATTGAACTGACACCCTTGTCAAAAATCAAATGACTCATAATGCAAGGTATTATATCTTTTAAAGAACATATGCCACAAATATATAAAAAATAATGTCTTATGTACAGATCTTTTTCTTTCTTTTTAGCTTGGAAGTTTGTTGAGAGCAGGAACCATATTTATTATTCCCAAAGCACCAATCAGAGCCCTTAGATTTATGCTTTACAGATGCTGATATGTGCTGGTTGTACCAAGTTGAATTATTTATTCACCCTTTGTAGAGAAAGAAGGCATAAGACATGGTTCCTTCTCTTGGAGACAATTAAAATTATCTACACAGACAGTTCATAAAGTGGGACCTATATCTCACTACGGAGTATAGAAGTAGAAAGGGAAGTATTCTTGTCTTAGTTAAGTTCTACATTAGGATAAGACTAATGAAAGAAATGAGGGAGGGAGAAGGAAGTTTAGTGCTTAAAATGTGCTCATGAGAGTATTTAAGGCATGGAAAGCCAAGACACTCTGGCAAAAAGATCTCTGTGAGTGAGATCCCAGTGGAAAGAACAGGTCTTCAAAGAGGGAGGTGCCTTTCTCTGAAGGGAGGAGAGAACCTCCACTTTGACTATGACCGTGTCTAAACAAGATAAGAGTCGGAGAACTCAAGGGGCTTCCATAGCCTTGGAAACTCATGACTGGTGCATAGGGAGATTACTGATGCCATAAACAGGAGTGTCAATTTGTAAAGTCAACAACAGGAGTCACTGTGCACTTACTCCTCATGTAGGATCTCTGTCCTTAATGTGCTGTACACTGAGGCTTAATGCTATAACGAGTACTCAAACAGTATATTTCACTTTGTGTTTCTATGGGGGTGCAAACGATTGAAATCTTTACTTAATGTACACTAAACTGATCTTCTGTCGGTAAAAAAAGAAACAAACAGAAATTTTCAATTCCCAACTTGACTCTCACTGGGATCAAACATGACAATAGGTCTGATCTGATTTCATCATCATTTAAAAAAAATCATCTATTATTTTTCACTTTATGTTTCTGTGTGGGAGCAAACTGTTGAAATCCTTACTTAAGGTATACTAAGCTGATCTTCTGTATATTAAGATAATCGAAAATGAATCTTGATGTGAATGGAAGGGGAGAGGGAGTGAGAAAGGGGAGGGTTGTGGGTGGGAGGGACGGTATGGGGGGGGGAAGCCATTGTAACCCATGAGTCGTACTTTGGAAATTTATATTCATTAAATAAAAGATAAAAAAAATAAAATAAAATGTGCTCATGAAATTAGCAGCCCTGGGCAGACTGGGGTATATTTTTTCTCATTTATTACCATTGCACTCCTCAGTGCAGGGTCATTTGGTATTCCCACTTCCTCATGCCGACTTGTCACTGAAACCTGAAGGGTGAAAAGTAACTGGGTGCAGAGTAAGGAACAAGGCGCCAATTAGCCATAGGTAAGTTACAGTACCTTGTGGCTTCCTCTTGACCACCAAACAGTAAGTTGGCCTAAACCAGAGGAACCACAGACTTCCTAAGCCAGGTCCTGTAAGGATGTGAAGCCCAGACACCCTAAGGCCCACTGCATGAGTGGATTCATGCCCTTCCTGTGCAACTAGAATAGCACTGGTTGTGTGCACTTATGGGAGAACCAAGACCATGGTCACTCAGGCCATCTTCAGGGTTCTGTAGCTTTAATACAGGAGCCAGCCAAGTGTCTAAACGAGCTGAGTTAGGTGGGGTAAGTTGCACTGCTGTAGTGGGCCTGTTGGCACAACAGGGAACACAGTGTTGACTCATTCTTAGATGATTTGCTTCTGAATCAGGGTTTCACGCTCTAAGCTACCTAACTGGCCTAGAAACCAGTCATGTCAAATGCAAGGATTTATAAATCATCTGTGTTTGGGAGGTACAAATATGTGTTCTGCCTGTTCTGACCCACTAACTAAAAACAAACTACCAAGGCAAAATGCAGATGCAGAAGGCTTTATTCTTTTTTAATCATCAGTGGTAGATTTAAAAATTCTGCAATCCTAAGAGTTCCTGTACTAGGAACAATATCAGTGATAGAAATTAACTTGTTTTAATATATTTTACAAAGAAGTAATTTCAATTTCAAAGACTAAACCACTCTGAGTTTACTGTACTTCAGAGAGTAGACAAGTGGCCACTTTCAGAAGAAAGGTCCATTTCCTCCTTGAGGGAAGGAGGTTCTCAGGTAGGAATTCACTCTAGCTGGTTCCCCTCAGGCTCTAGGATGCCTACAGGCCCAGCCAACTTCCCTCTGGCTTCCTATTCAGCCTGGTTTTCCCACCTGGCCTCCAGTCTCTGTTCTGCATTGATCACCATCCTGCTTGCCTCTGCCTGTCGTGTACACACCAGCTCTTTTGGAAGGCAGCCTGGTGTGCTCTGGGAGCTCAGCACAGGCTCCTGTTAACTGCTGGCCTGTGCCACCCTCTCTTTACTGCCAATCTGCTGGAAAGTGTGGGTCTCACTTTTTTTCCATGGACTTACCTCTATTCATGTTTGTGACAATTAAAAATTATTTTAAACAAGCCCAAATGTACTAAAAAGTTCTAAACACGTTATTCTCCCAAATACTCTGTATAGTTCCTACAAATAAGGACTTTCTCCAACATAACTGATCTGCAACCATTAAGGAGGGGAAATAAACACTGACATTCCTTCCCCTAATCCTGACACTTCATTCAAGCTTGACCCAGTGTCCCAGTCCTGTCCTCCATAGCAAGAGGAGATAATTCAGAATCTTGCCTGGCTTTTAGATGTCATGTCACTGTGATCCCCTGCAAACTGCAATGCTTCCTTGGTTTTTCCTTCATTTTCATGACCCTAACATTTTTGAAGGATGCAGGCCAGTTATTGTGTAGGATACAGACTCAATTTGGGCTTTCTGATGCACTCTTGTGATGTAATTCAGTTGATGCAGACTGGTAAGAATAGCACAGAAGGGATGCTGTGCACCTCCAATTACATTCTGAGAGCTGGCGCACTGATTTGATTTGTCCCATTATTGAAGAGATTCACTTGTATTAGTTGATTAAGATGCTGCTTGCCAGACTCCAAAAAAGGCAAGTTACTCTTTTTCCTTTTGAAATTGAAAAATACTGTGTGGGAAAAACTGTGGAACCATGTAACTTCCTTTTCTTTATCAAATTTTCAGTTCATTCTTTTCTTATTTCATTGTAAACTCACAAATTCTTACTGAATGGGTTATAATCCATAATGACAATTTATTTTCATGCTCAAACTGCCCCAGATGTGCCTAGTGGGAGCCCCTTGCAAGCCAGCACCTGTGCTCTTTTGATTCTTTTTGACGCTCCCTCATTCTTAGAGAATATACTTAACTTTCTGAAATGAGATGCTCAAGGCTCATCTTGTATTTTCTCTCATCTTTACCAGGAACCAGCCATTTTGCCAAGGAATCCTAGCTTCCTTTAGATATACAGAAGCTAATATCTGGTGCTAAATAAACTCATTGCTAAGGATTATCACTCCCCTCAGAGACCTTGTGATAGGGCTGTATGTCACACCAGCCTCTCATACACAGTGACACACATTTACTTCTGGTTCTCTACCCATCCATCTTGAACACTTTGAGTTTACACTATGTCTAATTCTGTTTCAGTACGGCAGGGTCCATTCACAACCCCTCACACTCAACATGTCTAAATGAAATGTCCTATCTTCCCGGCTCTCTCCAGCTGTTCTCCCCCAGTGAGTTTCCTTTTTCAGTTAAAGTAGCCACTAGTCTTCTTGTTTCACAAACCTTAGACTATTTCTAGACTCTCCTCTTCCTCCTGCTTCCACATCTAATCATTCATATTTATTAACAAAGTCTGGAAGGATATATAAGAGATTATGTCAGGGGGTATGTCTGTGAAGGGTATGTGGGAACTAGAAGAATGGAGGGCCAGAAGGGTAGAGATGAACTTCTCACCGTATATCTCTATGCCTTTAAATGTTGAATTTTATGTATTACCTTATTCAGAAAAATCAAAGGATGTTTATACAGTTATTGCTCTTGGGATTTTAAAACATCACATGTATTTTGGATAGCAGTAAAGAATACACAAGGATACTTCAAAAAGTTTGTGAAAAAACAGAATTATAAATTTATTTGGGTACAAAAAATTTTTCAATAACATGCGTAGTTTTTTCATCATACATATTCTCCAAGAACTTTCTGAGCCTCATATAGCAAAAATGAAACATTTATGTGCCCAGTAGTCCCTAGAATGGCTCACTTTTCTCCGTTGATTTGAAATATATGTATTATTTACTAAATTCCTGTATGTATCTGGTAATCTCTGTTCCACTGGTCTACTATATTAAAAGGGAAACTACTTTCATTAAAATTTAACTTTAAAAATGACTTTCAATTAATTTTTTATTGCCATTAGCTAGATGTTACCTATCTTCTGGTGTTTTTGTGTAGAACACAGAAGACAGTTCCTGCCCAGGCATGGTGACCTCTGCACTACTGCAGTCTCATCTCCAGCTAGACTTCCTCAGCTCAGTGTCTCACGGGTACCTTCATCTCATCAAGGCCATCCTAGAACTGGGCTCCAACTGCCAACCTCTCCCAGTGACTGCCACTCCAAGTCCAATAAATCTCACAGTTGTCTTGGAGTCCTCTCTTCTTATAATTCCATATCCAATCTTTAGCACATACCATAAACATTATTCTTAAAATAGACTCCAAATCTCTGTTTCCCACCACTTACCCCAGCACTCTGGTGTAGGTCACCAGTCTGACCTGTCTGGATTCCTGAAATAGCCTAATTTGCTTCCTCATCCCACTATTGTACCTCCACATTCCATCTGACCTAGAGCAGTCACACCCATCTTTTCAAAATACAGATCAGATCCCAACCATTTCATGCCAAAACCTTGAAGGGTTCTCATTGTTCTGGGCTGCATGCCTGTTCTTTGCACTAATCTTCTGTTGTGGCTCCTATGTTCATGAAATCCCATGTACACAAACCTCCCTTTTGTTCTCCAAACACACCAAGTCCATCCTTTTCTTTACAATCATTGATCCTTTTGCCTGAGAAGTGTGTCTCTCAGAACTCTACATGACTGACTCCACTGCACCATTCAGGTCTTACCTCAATGGTCTCCTTCCTGGACCTCCCATCTCTACCCTTTCCAAGGTTACCTTGACACTCCTACCCCAGGCTACTCTGTATCACAGCACTATACTATTTCTCATAATAGTAGAAAATTTAAAAAAAATCTTATTTATTTGAAAGGGAGAGAGATTGATTATCCATCCACTGGCTCATTCTTCACATGCCTGCCAAGAGCCAGGAACTCAATACAGATATCCACATGGGTAGCAAGGACCCAAATATTTGAGCCATCACTTGCTGCCTCCAAGGGTGCACATTAGTAGGAAGTTGGAATTGGGAGTGGAGCTGGGACGTGAACCTACATACTCCAATACGAAATGCAGATGTCCCAAGTGGTGTCTTAACTGCTGAAAAGCAATTTTTTTTGAGAACTTAATACTTACTACATGTCAGGCCCTGCTGTTAGTGCCTTATGAGTTTTATTGTATTAATATCTGCATTACATAAGAGAGTATCAAAATTCTCATCCACTTTACAGATGAGAAAAGTGAGGCATAAAGCAGTTAGATTATTTTTCTAACATCACATAAACACAAACCAACGGAAATTATGTTGTTTACTTTAGTTGCTGGTCTCTGCCCCACTAGAAGGAAACTTCTCCAGGGCTGGCTCTTATCTGTTTTATTCATTGCTCTACACTGTAAGCACAGAACACAACTGTGTACTTTATAATTTCTTTATGCCTCATAAGGACTCAGTGCATGGAAGGGAACATGACCATCCTCATCATCAGAGGAACACTATGACACAGC